AAGGAAAGGCTCAAGTATGAGAATAGCTATTTCTCATTCCTATCCAATTTTTGGCCTTTCTGGGAATGCAAACACACTGGTTTCAGGTACAATTACTTCCAGTCTACAGGGGGGGATGTGTGTGTGTGTGTGTGTGTGTGTGTGTGTGATTGACCCAACTCACAGCTTCCTTAATGTCCTGGTAACCAAATTCCATTAGTCAGTGTCACCTAGATTTGTACTGATGGTTCAGCTGTAAAACTTTCCAGTCTCTTTAGTCCCTTGAAGAAACTCTTGCTTAAGAAGAGTAAGCACTTACCACTCAAAAACTCAGTTCCTGGGAAAGTTTTACTCTAAGTGACATAAGATTGTTATGGAAAATGTAGGAAGCTGCAGCAGAGCAAATACTAAGCCCATGGTATAGAATGACAAGATGAATAATTTATATATACATGTATGTGTGTTTTTTAAAAATCTGTTTCTGGCGTACCTCTGGAATCTGCAAAGCTATTTGTGTGTCTTATGGCATGTCTTTATTGGACACAATGTTGTAACTAGGCTGGTTCGGTCTGGTTTGTTCATTAAAGAGAATTCCCTTACTTGGACACATAATTTTAAGTTAAATAATTTCTCGTTGGTGTTCATGCCACTGCACATCTACTGCTGTTGTGATCAAGACACATTTCAAAGCTCAAAATACTTCTTCAGTGTTTAGTCAGAGTTAAGTGAGAATGGTTCAGAGAGTGGAAGAGAGATGATGTCACTGTAGGAGACTCTCTATTTACTTCTATTTATTTGCACATGTGTAACCATTTCTTGTGTGTCTGTATATCCTTTATATATATCCTTATATATCCTTTAAAGAAGGGCAACTAGCTTATATCAATGTATATTGACATTATCAATTTATATTTGTAGTAATACATATATTTGTATACGGAAGCTCCTCATTAGTACCACAATGTGATCTAATCAGAACTAAACCTCTAGCAGATAAGGCAGGTGTAGGGTGAAATGTTTTCCTGTGGGATTCTAGATATTTCTTTCCTGGAAACTGACTTGTAAATACTGGCATTTAATTATAATCAGTCCATTAAAAAACCCAAATAGTAAGGGCTTCACACATACTTTTTTTCCCATGGGACTTACAAGTTCTTTGTACTGAAAAGATTCAGGAGTGTCCAAAGGAAATTGATTTACCCAAAGTCAAGGACACCATCCATTCTTCTCTGGTCTAATGGATAAATTTTCATGAGGGACCTTGTGGGAGTTCCTCTAGATCCCCCTCCAGCTTATCAATTACATTAAGTAACTGATCTTGCTTAATGTAGGAGTACCAGTGCTTTTTCATGTGACCTGTCAGGATGAAGTTCACAGCTGCTAAAGATATATCTTGCAAAATCAGGCCCTCTACTAGTGCTAGATGAGTCATGGAAATCAGAAAAGATTAATGTGCTACTTAGGTTAGTTCTACCTGGAATGGAGTGGAAGCTGTCTCTCTTTTTACAGGGCTTGGAAGCACAGTTGTGCCTAATATTTGTCTCAGAAGTCCCATTTATGAGTAATTCCTTTTTACTGATCAGGCAGTCTGGCATGTACAAGCACTTGGTGTCTATCCACCCACACTTTGTCCTTTCTGTCTTCTTCTGAAATATTCCACTCTGGGGCTCAGTAATGCAAATTTGATGAACAAATGATATGCTGCAAGAGGGAAAATACAATATGAAGTAAATGAGTTGGTTGCTGCTGCGTTCCAAGTGCCTGAGCTCTCAGAACAACTCACAAAACCAGAGATTTTCAGTTTTCTTTTAATGTTTCCCAGCTCTTTAGGTTAAACTATGAACTCAAAGTATTGGTGTGGTAAAGCTCTTTTATTCCACTGAAGGAGAAAAATGGGAAAAGTATTACCAGTATATTATTAAAAATACAAACACACCTGGATTTTTCAATATTCACCATGTACACAGTACTGCTAATCATGACATAAGTTTGTACATTTTTTGAAGGCTTAAAATATACTTTTTAATTTCCTGGCAATTACAAAGCCTGAAAGACCCCATGGCATTAGATAGCCTCCGAGTGTGAACTGAGATTTCTCTCTGCCCCAGGTGCATGCCATCAGTCTGTAGGTAGGATGCAGTGACCTAGAGCACCAATCAGGATAAAATGTGGTTGTTGTTATTAATAGCAATAATAGCAATTATTGTTCTTATTGCAATAATAGCAATAATGTTGTTATTAATAGCATGGTTATGCCGTCTAGCTTGGGTCTGCAAAGCTGTCTTCTGTGATTTTCAGTGACATAAAAACCACTTTTTCTGTTCTATGATCCTTTTCCAGTCAGTGTCCTGGTGCTGCATGTGCAGAAGCTTGAGGGTTTTTGTGGCAGGAGAAGGAAGAGTCCTTCAGGTCAGGATAGGCTTTGCTGTGTGTTAGGTTCCAGTGGTGAAAACTGAGCTTTTTTGAGCTTAGCAGTTTACTGGAGTCTCTAATGGGATTAGAAATAGAAATGGAAATAGAAGGGAGGCCTGAGGTGACCAAGGGAGGCATGTTTTGGTACAATGAAAAATGCAAAGTATGCCATCTCCACAACTATGTGAGAATGAAATGGGTGCTAAGAAATTCAGTGAGGAACAGGTTACTTCAATCAAAATGGAAAATGGGCCTGGGTTAGAGGAGATGCCAGAGAGAGAGAGATGAGGTAATTTATGATATGAGTTATATAAAGCATCATGCATTTTGAGTTATTGAACACAGCTTCCCAAATAATTCCTGACCTTTCATCTTCTTACTCTCCCTTCTTGTTATCTCTTCTCAAGTAGTGCTGCTTGCTTAGCTGTTTTCTTAGACCTCTTTCTTTCAGGATATTCCAGCATTCCCTAACTCTGTTAGTGCTTTTTGTATGAATTAGGATTGATGCAATCAGGCACTGGGAAAACCCAGTTAAAAAAAAAATTTAAAATCTTGATTTCTTGTTTATGGAATACTTCTTTCTGGAGAATAAATGAGGTCAAAAGAAATTTTCCATGGGAGGTTAAAATCCTGAGTTCAATATACCTGTACAGTCTGGTGATTACAACTGCTTTTCACGCAGTGTTCTGAAAGGAGAATTTGTCCCTGCAATTTTGAAGCTGAGAGGAGTAGAATTAAGATTTTGCCTAATTAGTGTTACCTTTCAAAGGTCTATTTTAAGCTGTCTTCCTTCAGCCTCTGAACCATGTGGTAGTTTCCAAAAATGTAATTTAATCATATCTGATTGCTTGCTGGAATCTGCAATTAACTTAGGTGCAAGGGAATTAACAGTATTTGCCAGGTGCTTCATAACTTACTGGGAGCTGCCTGTGCCACATATATGTTAAGAGGGTTGTTGGCTGTTTAAATTTATTGCCTAGAATATTTTAAGCTTGTGATTGAGTAATTTTTATTGCTTCCTTCCATTTCTATTCTTAGGATGACTCAGATATGAAATACCATGTAATTATATTCTGTATACTATCAAACTATCCCTTGCAATTAAGCCACATTGTAGTTGTTCTTCTGAAATATTAGAAGCTACCTTTCTAGGAAGTTATTTTTGGGATGCAATTGGTTGCTAGGGTAAAAATTAATTTTCAAGTAATTCTAGACATATGTTGAATAAAAAAACCCCTTTAACTAATTTTAAAAAGTAGTTCTCATCTTAGAAGTCCTCTGAAATCCAATTCCATCAAAAAAAGGTAGAAGTGGTTTTAGAAAATAAATTTTTCTGTAGGGACTACATTTATGTCCTGTTTGAGAATCAGTTCTTGCATCAGTTGCATAATGAAAAATGGAAAGAGAATGGAAAAATTGGCCCTCTGCCTGCAGGGAAATAATTTACTTTATATTTGGAGTGCATTTCTGAGATCCAGATTAGTACTCTAATCTCTCTCTGAAGCTCTCTTGCATTACAGATTTCAGAATTGCAGGATAATCTCAGGAGACATAGGCTTTGTACTTCATTTAGTTCTAAAGTTTCACAAAGGTTGAATTTTGGACAAAAGTGAACCTCAGCTTAGTTCTTGGTTCAGAAGTCATGACTATTGCAAGTTTTCATACCTCAATATCTGGAGAAGGGGTTTCTGCTGTCTGACATCTCTCTTTGTCACACTTGGAAAGGTGCACACTCATCAGTGTCTGAAATTCCCTGGAAAATTACTGTGAAAAGAATTGTGAAGACAAATATTTTAACTGGAATACTTCCTTAAACATAGCAGCAACTCTGAGATTTAAAAGTGTATTTGTACCCTGGTGGCCAGGGGGTTATCAGAAACTGTGGCTGCAGACCACCACTGAGATGGAAGATATCACAATAAGCCAGCATGAAAGAGGAAATCACTCTTGCCCAGTGATTTCATCAGGCACTCAAGATGATGCAACTTTCATTTCCCCAGCACAAAGCAGCAAGTGTGTGCCAGAAGCAAAACCACGAGGGGATCTGCAGCGAGTTCTGCACGTCCCCTGTTACCTGTTATTTACATTGAAACCAGGAAGAAAATTGCTCAGTCCATTTACAGCTCCTTTTTACTGCTTACAGAACTGAGGAATACTGTCTTTCACTGAAAAGGCTGTGCAGATCTTACATTTCCCAAGGAATAATGCATTCCCATAAAGCTGTCACAGATTCTGAAAAAGCAGAAGATAAGGGGAAAACAGCACAAACCAAACAGATTTGACAGTTTATCACTGTCTGAACGAATTGCAATTGATGTAACCATATCAGAGACTTGCAGGTGTTTAGATTTTGAGATGACATTTGAGACTGTAAAAGTAGTATTTGCAGCAACAGCCCTGATAAATATAATCCTGTCTGAAGCTCTGTGTGCCCCCCATACTGATGGGACTTTAGAAGAGGAGAAAAGGTTCATTTACAACCACATACAAGGAAGTCAACAAAAGTTACTGAAAGCTTTTTTGAGGCTTTTTTGAGACTGTGAGCTGCCAAAAGCAGCTAACTCCTCTAGCCAAAACATTTTGCCAAGAGATTTGCACAAAGTGTGTGTGAAGCTCCAGAAAGACCAATCTGGAGACTTGCATCTAAGTCTTTTGGGTTTGGGTTTTTTTCTTTTCTGGTAAAATCTACATACTTAAGGGAACAATTGTCTATGGAAACTAGTTTCCTATCCAGTTTACAGTCTGGAAAAGCCTGATCCTAGCTGCTGAAGTGACCCCAAAGACTGGAGAACAGGGTATTGTACAACACTTGTCTATGTACCTGCTTTTAGGCACTTGGCAGGCTACTGTTCTGCTTATGGAGAAGCAAGGGGAACAGTTATTCCTACATTTGCCCTTGGGCTTTCTTCCCATTCTGCTGCTTTCTACCTGGTTTTGCCTTTCCCTTTAACTTTTTCTGTTCTCTCCTATTTTCCTTCTTTCAAACCTTTATATAATTATGTGTTGTTTTCTTTCGTCTTTCTCATTTCAGCACTTGTATAATTCTCATTATTATTGCTAAGTCACTAAAAAGGGCTCTTTTTCTGTCTTGCAGAGTCAGACTGTTTGGAGAGGTTGTCTGTGATGAGTGATTTCCAGAACCAGTGACATGATGGAGTCATGGAACAATCAATGAAGATTAACTGTCCAGAGGTAATTAAAAACCTTTGTGTTATTTTATTACTATGAAAGCCAAGTTCCTGCCAAGGACTGTCTTGTTAAAGAGATGCCAAGTCTCAAGGTTCAGTAGCACAAGTCATGCATTAGTAGACTGCTGAGCAGAATGTAATGGATCCTGAAAACAGACAATAGGTAATGCCTGTCTTGAAATAGAACTGGAAGGCAGTGATTATTTTTGTGTGTAAAATACTAGAGAAATGATCTTGCAATGATTATTCAATAAATCTTTTTACATTTTAAGATCCTAAACTAATGTTTAGACATAGGAAAAACTTACTTCAGGCAGTTTGCAGAGGCTCCTGTAAGCCACTAAAAAAAAGTTGATTTTCCAAAAGCAGCAAATACCACTCAGTCTATGAGAAAAAATTATATACTATGCATAGTAAAAATGGAGTAAGTTGGGGTTTATTTTTTATAGGTTGTTTTCGCTGTGTTTTTTTAAATGCTTTTGTTAAGACTTTGCATTCAGCTGGGTTTGCAGGAGTGTTGGTGCAGAGCTCTGCCTGACGTTTTGCTCAGGCAGTGCAATGAAGGATGAGCTGGCACTGTCAGAACTCTGCAGGTGGTTGAGTATAGCAGGAAATATACATTTCACTGAGAACTGGAATTCAGGCTTTCATGTGAACCATCACAAACATGGACCAAATACCTCAGTGTGCTGATTCTGGGTTTTCAGTGTGTTCCCAAAAATTCATCACCATTTATTGCTTGAGCTGAGTCTGAGGAGATTCATCACCATCCTTTAATCTTCTTGCAGGTTTTCAGAAAAGCTCTTAATATACTGCTGCATGTTAGAAGTTGTCAGCACCCTTGGCAAGCACTAGAGATGAACATGAAGGAGTTGTACTTTTCTGGATGTGATTAATTCTGGCACAGCACTTGTTCCCATGGCTGAGCCCTGTGTGCACTGCTGTTCTTGTCAGGTTCGTTATGTGTGTTTTCTCTTTCCAAGGTATTATGTCTTCACTGTGAAACATTCACTCAGACTCAGATTTGGCAGACAGAGGCTGAATCTAGCAGCATGCTGGTTTCCAGGAAAAAATAATTTGTTCCTTTGGAGGGAGGGAAGGGATTTGGATTTTAAAATGCTTCATTGTATTTTATAACACAGAACTTGCTTTACTTTTCTGTATATAATATTTCTTGAGCAGTTGCTTAGGAGTGACCTTGATGATTGCTGAGTAAATTATAACATATTATGTGAAATTTCAAGTTCTGTTCCTAAATGTTAAATTCTAAAAAAGCAATAATAGCTCAGAAGTTAAGATACTCTTAACATGACTGTTGACAAAATGTTTTTTTTTTTTTCCCCAGCTTAGGGCAGTGTTTCATGAGTGTATTTTTAAAGTATTTTTTTCCCCTCTAAGAGGTCTTGAAATTTTAACATAGCTAAGGAAACTAAGTAGAGACACAGGTATTGCGTGTCATCTCCCAGGTCATCTGAGAGAGACTTAAGAGGAGGCAGAAGCTGTTTAAAGATCTTCTAAATTAAATACTATTTATAGAGATAGAAATTCCTATATGGTGTTGAACTGAAAGTTCACCTAGTTCACTCTTCTATTTCTAACAGAGGCTACATAGAAAAAAAAGATCAAAGAATTTTACATAATTGTCTTTCTCATCTCAATTTGCTAAGAAAGCACAGAGCTTGTTATGAGTATGACACCAATATGAAGAGGTATTAGTGTTCAATACCTGTGCTAACAATCTCCTGTCAGATTTTCTCATGCTACATAAAGTGAACAACATAAATAGCTCCTAAATATCAATAGATTTTTATTGCTGGGACCAAAAAGGCCATAATCCTAAAAACATTGACTGATCAATGATAACTCTTGGGGTGTTTATATTTGCATTGCAACATAATCAAGTAATTTACAGAGACATGTTTTTCAGCTTCTGTAATGCCTTAAGAAAAATGCATGCTTTTCTGCAAAACCAAAATCCATCATGGCCAGGGCAGATTTGTGGTCAAATGAGGCCAGTTTAGTAATGAACTTGAAGGCTATAGGGATGTTTCTCATCAGTGTCTACCCATGGCTTCAATACACTGATCAATATTTCTCCTTTTTATTTTGGGCATAATTTATTTTGCTTTACTTAACGCTGACATTCTGGGAAATTTTGCCTTGATGAAGAACCTTTAAATGACAACAATGAATAGTTAACTATGGGCTTTTGCCCATAGTTTAAGAAATAAAATATCCCTCCTCAAAAGCACATTTACATTAGGACTTCCTATTTTGTTGATTCCAGCAAACTTCTGATTTAACACGGATGAAGGATACCAAGTACATGGTCCAGGAGTCTGAAATTGTGCTTACTCCCAGATTAGATCAGGAAGAGATTGGAGCAGTGATGCCCTGTCATTTAATTCTTGTCATAAGAATTAGGACTTGAGAACAACTGTCTATTTTTGTCAGCAATATTTGCTGTTTTGAAGCTGCCACCTCAGATGCCTGTTTTATGGTGAATGATTATCACTGTTAGGTTTGAGGTGAAACCAGTTTCTCAGAAAACAGATTGATGAGTGTATTTTTATAATAGAATCATCTTGAAATGAAAGTAATTCTTCTGTTTCTTGAACTACAATTTTATCTACTGGCAAATAAGGAATTGCATATTGCAGTAACTCTTATTTCAATCAAATCTGTGTAAATTGAGATACAGACTTCAAGCCAACGGGACTGGAGTTTTAACATCATTATTAGTTTATTATATTTATCTGTATGATGAATTTCTGGACTGTGTTATTCCACTTGAATACAATCTTCTGAAAGTTAAGGGTTTGAATATGAGTTGCTTGAAGCCACAGCAATGTGGATTTCAGCCAATGTATTTGTAATATAGTTCCTTGTTAAGAGAAAATACCATTGTACATTTTAATCTTCTATACTGCCAGTACTGAAAGAAGCCTCCCTCATCTTTTTTTGCTCAGTGAGATAATGTGGCTGATAACCTTTGTATAGTTCAGGGACTTACTTCATTGCTTTCTAATGGAGTTTCTGGAGAGTATAGATTTAGATTACAATGTCGAATGGCCATAGGGCCTCAGGGAAATATGCTCTCATTAATGGACTTGTTAATGGCTATCATCGGAGAGGCTCTAATACTATCAGATGTAAATGTTGTCAGAGCAGTCCATCTTTATCATGCAGATATGGAGATGCATCATTAATTCTCACAGAGATTCTCAGATCCTCAGAGCTGTGCACATTGATGCAGCATGATAAGGTCTGAAGGAAATTAAAAGCCGTCCGTTATCAATTTAATATTTCAGATTTCTGTTTCCAATTAATATGGTCTAAGAGACAGAAGGAATTGAACCACAGCAGAACTATGGGTCATTCAGAAGAGATCAAATGCAGATTATTTCTCTGTCAGTTCCAGCTTCATTATGCTCACTGCTTTCTCTCTGAAAGGTATGAGACAATGCTAACTTATACCAATGAAGTCTAACAGCTGAAAAGTTAAAAAGATATATCCTATGCAAGCACAAAATTATGGCAATATAAAATCGTTTACAGAATCTAAAAAAAAATTTTAACAGTTTTTTGGCCTTTTTTATTATTAAATTACAATAGCTTCTTTTTCCTTTATCATTACTTTGGGTGTATTCATAGTGCATTGAATGCAACAAATTATAATCTGTCTCAAATTTGTAGCTTTAGACCCTCTACATTAATAACCTGTTTGATAATTATTTGCTTAAGGTCTTGCAGGGCTGGAAAAGATGTAAAAATGAGTATTAACAAAGGCAATTTACATCAGAGACTCTTCTTTCATGCAGGACAGCAGTAAGGGAAGTTATCTGTGAAATCAGCTCTTGATGCAGCTGTGGTGAGAATTCCCCCTTGGTGCTGCAGCAGCCAGGGTGGAGACACCTGGGCTGGGACTGTCCTGGCTGGGTCAGGGTCAGATGCCACAGTTCCACTGCTGCTGCTGACACAGGGACAGAGCAGAAGATAAAACACACAGTTCTTAAGTAAGGCTTCAGTAACTTTAGCTCCATGAGAGGGAGAAATCCTGTAAAAAGCTTTATTTCTAGCATTTTCTGACCACACTGATGTTCACTGGAGTCTCACATAGCTTTTAAATTATTGATAAATCTATGAAATGAAGGATTCTAATGGTTTATCTCCAATGAACAAGTGCAGACATCTGCTATTGGCCAAGTACTGCTATAAAATGTAATTTTATTAAATTGCTGCTATGAGTCAAGAGAGGACTCAGTGCACTTTTTCCAAAATCTTGCATATTGCTCTGGCATTATTCTTGTTGCAGTACATTTTGCTCATTTTTGCATCCTCAGACTGAAATATAATGCTCACTTGCTTCTTGTCAGCTGTTTGGGCATTGTCTTTGATGGGGGGCTGCCAAGCCTAGCAGGTTTTTGACAACATGGAGTGTATTGTTGGGGCTGTAACAATTACCTGGCTTGCTGTGAAAATCTGGAGGAGTTATACATCAGTATTGCTTGTGCCATTTTACCTCAGAGGATGTCACTTCAGAGGATGTCTCCCTTATCCAGACTCGTTTGGTGTGGGTTTTGTGTTCCAGCCAGTGCAAAATACAAAATTTGCCATTTATTCATCTCAGCCTCTTTTTCACATTTGTCACCTGCTTTTAATTTCCTCCTAGGAAGTCCCTTCCTATCCCCATTGTATGGTTCTAATTTTAATAATCCCAGTCCTTCCACAGCTCTTTCCCCAAAGAAATATTTCACTGTACTCACCACTTAGTGTGTTGATATTTCTTGTTAGTATGCACCGTCGTGTTAGCTCCTCTAGATAACCTTGATAAATTAAAAATTGGCTTATCAATATTCAATCAACCTAGCTCATTTTTCCAAATGTCTGATTTCCTTTCTGTCAGAGCTGAGTTAAAAAGGCACTGCAAAAATAAATGCAATTAAAATTGCATATTTTTCTTTGAAACAGAAATTAAAAATAAATCTTCTGCTAATGCCACCTTAAATGCATTGGTTTATCAACAGTGAAATAACATACAGTGACAGATATGACATTAAAAATCATTAATTTTCAGTAGAGAGTTGTTCTTTGAATACAGTGAACATCTAATCAAGGCATAATTAGGAATATTTGGGAAAGCTGGGCTTGGTCTCTTCTATTTTCTTGCTAATTTCTATTTCTTGCTAATTTTTCTTGCTGACTCTTGCTAATTCTTCTACATATTTTTTAAAATTTATAGAAGTTTATATATTCCAGAGGGCTGGGAGTTAGGTGGAAGGAGCATCTTGTGGACGCAGCCTTCACCATGATGTAATAAATAGATCTGATTGTCAGGGGGCACATGGGCAGCAGCACTGTCACTGAGGGGTCTCACATTCCCCTTTGCTTGAGAATGGCTTCCTCTGATGTCCTGGCAGGGACCCTGAAGCTCCAGGATGTCCTGTGATGTGTTCCTAAAAACATGGATGTGCTGTTTCTCAGCGGCTTCTGAAAACAGTCAGCACTGTCAGTCAACAAAAGGCAAACAGAGGCCAATCCTTCATCATAATATATAGACCCCATTAATTTATATATAGTCAAATATCATTAATTTATATTTTATCATTAATCTATATATCATTAATTTATATTTTATCATTAATTTATACACAGTGTCAACCTTAAGGGCTCTAATTCATCCATTAAAGTTTCCTGGGAGTTTATCAGCTGGGTTCATTCTCTATTGTAGTAGCTGTGCTGGAAACAGCAATTCTTTGGCTTGCTTCTGTTCTGTTCTTGTTTAATGACCTCTAATTTTGTACTGAAAATATATTCCTTTTGGGGGGCTTCTTTTTGGGGTTGGTTTGTGTTGGTTTGTGTTTTTTGTGGGCGAGGGGGATATCTGTATATCTTGCATATCTGTTTTCCAAAGTCAGAAATGCATTTTCTGAGTTTTGCATATTGTACTAAAGTTAATCTACATAGGTTTTACACTAAGACAGTTAAAATTATTTCATCTCTGCCAAATTAAAAAAACCCAAGGTCAAGCAATTTTCCCTTTGAATTAATTTATTCAAAATATTTAAACAAAATCCTGTGGGTTTAAAACCTTAAATTTAAAAGGAAAATTAAAAACCAGTATTTTAAAATTAAGTGAGATGACTTTTGATTAAACCCTGACAAGATTCAAGAGTTTGCTTCACTTTAAAGGCTCTGGACCATTGCTGATAATCTTAAAGGAACCATAGAAAGTGCTTCAGACAGTCTATATGCCCTACAGAGAAAAAAATACAAGGGGGAACGCAGGCAAGGAACTGCTGTTCAAACATTGTATGTCTTCAAGCTGTTGCACTTTTATATTAGATGAAAATTTGTGTGTGTTTTCCAGTGGGGCTGGCAGTGCATTTTTCAAAAGTCAGGAATTGTAAAGCTTATACAGCATCAAAGATGCTATTTGATATCATCAAAATCTTGCTCTACTGGTTTTGCTATCATCTGTGGAGAAATGGAACCTAGGAATGACCTTATGGTATGGTTTTGCATCAATAACTTCTTTGTACCTTGGTCCAAGGCCACATTCACCCTGGAGTAAAGCTGCCAATTTGAATTCTATAGAACAATGTCCAGTTTTGTTACCAAAACAGTGCAGAGGAGCAGTGCCATCCTCTGCTGGTATTGGTGTCCACCAAAAGGATATTTAGAAGGTGGAAGAAAAAGTGTGCCCATTCCAGAGTTAATTATCATCTGTGCTTACAATATCTGGTGCTTCTTTAAAGCACGAGCCCTACAAGTTTTGCGCAGTTAATATGTACATGCTCAGTATATCAGGCTTCTCTGCTATGGCAATCCTGCAAGGGTGCACAGTTTACATCCTTGGAGATGTGTGGTTGTAGCTTGCTCCATGTCCTCTGCTTGGTGCAATTAACTTCCTTCCACTGCAAGAAGTGTTGGGCTTTTTCTTGTAGGGTTTGGAGTCAGATGGAATCAATGGAAACACCCAAAATTAATAACTGCAGGGAAGTGGGCCCAGCCTGGGACACTGCACACAGGATGGAAGCCAAAGACTGCTTTACAGGTAAACACTACTCTGTTGTTTGCATTACAGCAGATAGAAAAGAATAAAACACTTCTCAGTAGCAGAAGCTTGAAATATGCAAACTGGAACAGAACTGATATCCAGATTCAGTGGGAAGGAAACTTTGGTAACCACAGTAACAGTAGGCAGATCCAGCCTTGTGAGTTATTCATCCTTGCAAAAGGAATTCAGTAGAGCAGTGGTGAAATTTTTGCTTGTCCTTTGGAAAAGAAAAAAACAGACCCAAAGGATGATAATGTGGAAGAGAAAACTCTTAATTTGCATTTTAATAGAAGCCCAAGTTTTAGTAGAGAACCCTAAATTTCCCCACAGTGACTGTCTTGTATGTACCTTGTGAAATGGCTTCCCAAGGAAGAACTGAGAGAGGAATCTCTTCCCTTCCATTTTGCAGTTTGTTACCTTAGCTCTGTGAAATGCAGATTTTCATGATACTATACTGTGATATTTATGTGCTTCTTTTTAAACAATATTTGGATTTCATAGTAATTCACATTTGAAAGTCAGCCTTAAAATTAGCACTTCTGATGTATAAGGAATGGTTTTCTGAGGTGTGGAGTAGTGGCATAGCCTGTCAAACCCAAGAGGCTGTCAAGGCAGGATCCATAATGAGAGAATACTCTTTTTCTCCTTTGCAAGAATTCCTGTGTGCAGTATCAGAGTGGTGGAGGGAGAGAAAATTTATGAAAGATTATTTTTAGCCCTCTATGCAATGGACTTCAGTCCTGAAACTAGAGTACAATAATACCTTGAAAAACAAGCTTGATCCTTGCTGAGGATGCTTACTAATGAATGCAAAGCCAAGCACAATTTTAGGATAAAATAAGGACATTTTAAGTTTTGTTTAAACACCTTTGTTCTCAGGAGTTTTCTTTATATGGTCACAAAGATGTTGCTGCATGAAAAAGTAATTTCTGGCCAGTGATCCAAATTGCATTGCCAGGCACATCTGGGGAAGCACAAAGGCTGCTGGGGAATGACCTGCTCACCCCTGGAGTGGGATGGCCATGGTGCTCCTGGCCTGCCTCTGTATCTCAGATTTCACTCTGTCTCTCCTTGCAAAGTCCCACTGTCCCTCACAGAGGCTGAGTGGATTTCTTGGGGCAGGTTGGCAGGGTCCCTGCAGCTGGGCTGGCTGCTGACTTGCCAAGGCTGGAGGGCCCCAGTGTGCACCTTGGAACCCCTGGGGCATCCCCTGGGCTGGCTTTGTCCACGTAAACCCTCAAAATACATAAACTTTTAAAATACTAACAAGTAAGTAATGAAAATCCTCCTTAGACAATTAAAATGCTACACAGAAGATGGTGGCTAGCCTGTGCTAAAAAAGATTGCTGGTGACTTTTATTAAAATATAAGAAATCTAATAACTGAAACTTCTTGCTAGGACGAGAAAAACACTTCTTTGCCTTAATGTTGTATTGTGCATATTTTTCCACTTTAACAAGTTTAGCCAAAAAGCATGAAAAAAATCTATAATTAGCTCCAGCTTTACAAGTATAAATGCATGTGCTAGTTAGCCTTTAGAAAATAGCCATTTGTGTTAAATTCATCAAGAATTTCTCATTAAAAACTGAGCACACATGAATTAGCTTGACAGGGAAGAGCTGCTGGAGCATTTGCTTGGATTTGGCTCTGTGTGTTCCCAGCCTTTGTCTTCACTGCAAGTGTTGCTGCCAGCTATTTCACCCAGCCTGGCCACAGCCCTGGAGCCCTGAGTGATTTGATTAACAGCTGATGAATTATGAGAACTTGAGCTGTGGCTTGTGGTTGAAGTCCCACTGCATTTGTGCTTTGGTTCTCAGCTGAGTTTGAATATCATGCCACAGACCCCATTAGCTTGGCTGGGCTGGGCTGGAAGCCTGCATTAAAATGAAGTCTGAGGCATCTGTGATTGGATGGGAGGTAATTCATAGAAAATATAGATGTGTGCAGTTTTTGCTATACTGCAGTGAAGGAAAGCTGAATAAAGATGTGAGCAAGCAACTCATGAAAAATGTTCACAAAGCTGAAACAGATTCACTTGAAGCTGAAGCTCTTTCATTATGGGGTGTCAGAGTAACCCTGAAACAAGGTGCTGCTTTACTTTTTTCTGTTGGCAGTAGGAAAATCTCCCCAAAAATCTAAAAGTGCTTTTTCTTCTTAAAGCACACACACTGAAAGGAGAGGTGAAGGTGATGAAGGAGAATGCTAAAATATGAATAGAAGTTATAATTATAGCAGCCACTCTTCTGTTAAACAGAGTTCACTGTATTACCATGGATTTCTAAGCTCTCTTTAGGAGTTGAAACACTAAGACTAATTTATTGTTAGCTTTGTTGTAAAATGCTTTAGATAATGAGTTTAATTATTTGATTAACTGAGTTGTCTTCATATTGAGTCATCCAAAATTTGGATAGTGAACTGCCTACTGTGTTTGTTGGATTGTCTTCATGAGAAATTCAGTTCTTTTTTATGTAAGTGTGCAAAGAGTTAAAAAACCTCATAACATGGAACAAATACTCTATTCCATGGATCTTTCACCTGGTTAAATTTCCTTAGCATTGGCTTATGCACATTACTCTGCACACTTTCCTCTAAAATTTAAATAAATTGAATGGGGCTTTATTATTACTCCCTGGTTCATTATCACCCAGGCTCAGCTTGATCAAGGCACAAGTGATGGGCAGGATAAGCTAGAAAAGAAGATATGCACAAAAAAGGAAATTATGGTATTGCCAGAAATGTCTTAAAAATGCTCCTTGGAGCACAGAGAAATAAATTATGTTGCAAAGAACATTTTGCCTCCCAACCTGTGGATATTGCATTAAGCTCCTACTTTGTTTCCAAGTCTATTTATAGTTCCTGGATTATGTGAAATCCTTATGAAATTGTTTAGTACCCATGGTTACCAAACACGTTTCACAAACTAACACAATTCTAATGCTGTGATATATCAGCAAGTTTTTTCTCTTTTCCTAGCAGTAGGTTTCTGGCAGAAATCCTCAGAGGTATAGATGATAATAAAACCCAAAAATATTTCCTGCATTTGCAGTAAGCTGTATTTAACATTACCATTTCTGCATGGCTTTACTTTCAGTGTGCTATTGTGGCACCTTGGAAGCATAAGTAGTCTTGGCCTGCCTTGTATTCCAATGAAATGTGTCAGTCTCTAGGACATGCCATTTCTAAAGAGATGACAGCTGAAAAGCCTTCATGCCTAAATCTAAACAGCACCTAAACCACATAAAACTTCCTTTTTACTGTCCTTTTCTGTTGCCAATGTAAACAGACAGCAGCAAGTGTTGCAGCTGTAATAATTCTAGTGCCAGAGGTCCTGTGATATTTTCTTAGTGTGGTAGGATTCACACATTTTTTAATGTTTTGTTCTTTTCATCTGATGATTCAGGAAATGTGTGGAATTGAGGCAGGGGTGCTGTGTCTTACAGGTTCTCTGTGATGTAAATATAGGACTATTCACCAAAGACTTTTCCAGCTATGAATGATGCCCTGTGAAGGGCAGAAAGCTGGCACAATTGACATAATACAATGAAACTAAAGCTATTTCTCACTCTTGTTAATTTTTCCCCTCCTTTTTAATGCATTAAGCCATTCTTGGCTTTTAATTTTGTCCCTCTCCCATTTTGACACCTCCAATATGTATCTCACGTACGAGAATTGTGTTATGCCAATGAGCTATAATAGAAAAGAACAATAATATTTACAAACTATCTTATTTACTCCTTTGCTGTGTTCCTCTAAGGATCCTTTCATAGCCCTACATATAGATCTAACTAAATCAAGTAGCAAAAGCCAACATGACACCCATATGTGCAGTAATTAGCAGGTAGAGGCTGATTGCCATCAGAAGTGTGTAATGTTTCAGCACTAATGGGCCCATACAATGGGAGGGCATTACAGCCCCGGCACCTCTTTGGTGCAGCAATGTCATCCTGGGCGTTTTCTGCTTTTCCTGCTGACAACAGCTTGAAATATAATCACAGCTAAACCAGGTAATCCACCCGATCGAAATCTGCTCACTAAGGAAAAGCAGTTGGGAAAAAGAAGCATTTGGAGAAGCTTTGGTATTTCAGAAGTATGTTAAATCATTTAAGGCTTGTATAGTTTTTCTTTCCACTCATGCTACTTGTTTGTTAAATAAAACCTTACAGGAATCCATTCAATTCACAGGAGAGCTACAAAGCTGATGTTTGCATCCATTCCTGTGAACTGTTTATTATATTGTTGCAATCCATCTCCTCCTTCAGATCTGTGTTAGCTGATCAACACAATAGTTGGAAACACTTGTGAAATGCCGATTGCTCAGTAGATTTTGGAAGGGGGGGAAGTAAATAGCTCTCATGGAGCTTTATTTGTAGAACACAGATCATAGCTGCATTTTATCATTCTCTCATAAGCAGTACACAGGGATTGGTAGGTGCAGTGGTTTTATTTTTCAGTGGATAAAAAAAAAAAAAATTCTGTTCCATTCAGTGCTGCCATTAGTGACTGGGAGACTGGAGTACGCAGGGGGAGGATCATTGCTGCTTCTGGCCCTGGCCTGGCTGCTTTCACAACCTGCAGATGCTGAGCCTCACCTGCAGCAGCAACAGCTCCCCTTCCACCCTGCAGCTGGGGCTTGGACCCAGGGGAGTGATTGTGCAAGGGCTTGTGCAGAGTGCCTTCCCATCAGGGATGGCTAAGCAAGACCCACTCTGTGACTTGCTAAGGAAGGCAGAGACTGTTTATGGCCTGCAAAACACATTATACCTGGGATACAGAGAGTTTCCCTGCTCTTTTTAGCCTACTTCTGAAGCTTAAACAAACTTGACTTAGCTAGACCATGGAAAGTCCGCCTGTGGGAGGAAGATATCTGATATCTTGAGATACAGGATGCCAACAGCTGAGAGCCTCACTCTTCATTTTATTCCTGCCTTGGGAATGGGCCGTGCAAGCAGACCAAGAGTTGGCAGTGGGGAATGACTAAGCAGAAAACAGGCAGCTGCTCAGAAAGTCAAAGTCGGGATGTCAAAAATCCTATGTGGCTGCACTGCATTCCTCACCCAGCTCTAATGTGAGAAACATGAAGCCCTATTTGAGGAACTAGCACCCAGTAAGGCCAGCCAAGGTCTGTGGTCAGGGTGTGGTGGGCTGCTGGAGGCTGGAGCCTGGCTCCCTCCTCTCTTCCCCAGCTGCAATTGCTCTTTCCTAAGAGCTCCTCGATACGGCCCCTTTCTTCATGAACTCCAAGTTATCCAAACCTGGGATGTGTTTGCTCAAATGCTTAGACTCTGTAAATCCAGGGCCACGCTGAGGTGACAGTATTTGTGATCTGGGCCTCAGAATACTGTAGACAATCTGATCTCAGCATCTGCTGTGTGAGATAATTGGTGTGTCTTGGCTGTGAGTCTGGTGTTAGGCTGAGCAGAAAGATGAACACACTGTGCAGATTAAGGTTAAGCCAAGAACAACATTTCTGTGAATGTGGCTGGAAGTGAGTTTGTCCACAGCATGATCTTGAAAACGTGATGTCTCCCCATGAATCATTTACTCTCTTTCTTCCAGATACTCTAGACTTCCAAGTAGTTTTGTTTCTTTTGTTATTTATGAGGAAAAATATCTATCCCTGTGTTTATAGCCTCTAGACACCATTCTAAATGTCACCATCATCTGAGCCATGTGAGTTCACCCCCATTGTGCACTTACAGGGCCAGACTCTCTTAACGAGCATCATTGGATCGGTTTGCCTAAAATTTGGCACTACATCAAGTGTGATAAAACCTATACCTACAACCACAGAGCGGTAGAAGGAACAGCAGGAAAAACAGATACTCAGGAAAACAGTTCATTAGAAGAGAAGTGAATGATGCCCTCTTTGAACAGGAGGTATTTGATTTATAGTGATTTATGGTTTAAAATCCATGTGCTTTCAATGCTATTTGCAAGTGAAAATAATAGTTGTTAATATGGAAGGCCTTTCTGTGGGCTCTCAGTTGTGCTATTGGAACAGCAGGATCACAACAAAAGCGATCACATGAAATATTTCTTTAATTGTAAGTTTTAATTGTAAGCATTTTTTAAATGTCACTTTCTCTTTTGTGAATTGAGGCTGTGTCCAGACACTCAGGAGGACCAGTACACCTTCAAGTAATTTACCAGAATTTTGAAGTCAAACATATTGGAGTCTCAGTTGACTTCATTTTGCCCTGGCACAAACATTGATATAACTGTGATTGGAACTGATTGTTTTAACTTCAGATTTCCCTGTTCTACAAAAAGAAGAACACCTATCTCACTGTGATCTTAGAAATTCTTAAACCATTCTAGAGATGCTTGTGCTCAGATGTAATTTCTACTGTGGTAACTGAGTTTTTGTGAATTACTTGCAAACCTCTCTGAAGCTCTTGACTCTCTTTTCTTATTTTCTGTCATGATTATTCTTCTTCCCTCTTTCTCTTCTCTTTTTTTACTTTTTTGTTCCCCTGCCAATGCAAAGTACATTTTAAAGTCACATTTTCCAGACATATACTGGGAAGATGGATCCTAAAATACTAGGATTTAAATTCACTCTACATTTTTACAGGGCTCACTGCAAATCCTGTGTACAACAAAAGAGACTTTGCATCAGCTCTAACAGATTTCAGCTTGAGAAAACATTGTATTTTCCAGTAAAATGCTGTATCTCCATCCTCTTTTTTTTTCTTCACTCTTTATTCTCTCAATATTTTTAAGGTTTTTTTTTAAATCTGGATGCTCTTTGCTTCACTTTTCTCCCTATTTTATTTTTTCCTAAGTGGGATTTGATCCCAGTAGATCTGGAGTTCAAGCTGGTATTTTAGGAGCAGAATATGACTGAACAGCTCATTAACTACAGTGAGTATATTTATCTCTTTTTAAATATTCCCATATTCAAAGTGAAAATGTTAGTTTCACTGTAGAAGATGCTGTTCACACTTATGTAACTTTATTGTTTAATAAGAAAAAAAAAGACCTAGAAACTTGTTTTTTCATACTTGACAGTATGAACAGCAGTTTCACACTGTAAATGATACTGCATAATACTGCAGTTTCACACTATAAATCTGTAAACCATAAATTATAAATAGAGTCTATAGCTACATGTCTGTGTGCCATTACCACATTTTTCTAAGTTTTTCCTACTTTGGTTTAACTCTTTTTTTAGAGTTTCTTCTGCAGGTACTGCAGGTAGGTGATGATTTTCTGTGCTCACAGAAGGTTTAGCAAAGCTCTGTGGATGCTGATCTTGGCCTGGCCTGCTGCCCTTGCAGGGGGCACTCAGTTATTTCATTTCTGCCTTTTGCAGGGTTTCAGTCCAGGGACTGTGCTGGCCATTCACTACCAGGGTCAAATGCTGACCATGTCCATGGAGTCTTGCAGCCTCTGAGGCTGCCTGAGCATGATCTTCAATAGCATCAGCAAACTGTGTGAGCTCCTCCCAGAGCAGAAGGGATTTGCTTTCCTGCCATGAAAATGCAAGGTTGGTTGAAAGTAAGCTTACTTTGAAATATGCAGGAGGTATTCTTTTGGCTTTAATTCCACTCCTTACACACTACAGCTTTTGAAAGCAAAAGAAAAGACAGAGACTAAAAGTTTTACTTATTTTTTACTAAAGCTGTCCCTCAGACGTGATTGACCAGCAGGTATCTCTTGGAAGGATGGTGGATGCAGGTGCACTGCAGTCTTTAGTGCTCTCTGACAATAGTGGTTCCATTTTAAATTTTTCCAAGTTAATTTCTTTTTCTGCAGATGTCCTCTTTTCTTTTTGAAGCTTGTTGCTTCAAATAAGAATGATTTCCTTTAATTGTAGTGAGCTATAATATAGTTTCTAATGAGTCTGAAAGGCATCAACATATCAGAGGCTGCCTGCAAAAGGCCAGGCAAGTGTTGAACTGGTCCCTCTTTAAGACTTGAGGAGATTATATGCTGTTATAGAAGCCCACTGTGCAATTACTTCACTTTCATTGTCACAGATGGCTACTGAAATCATTCTGTCTGATAGTGTTTGATGAAGCATTTAACATTTTGAATCACAGCGGACTAATACAATTCAGAATGAATATTGAATATTTTAACTGGGTTAAATGTCCGAGAATCTTTTTGTCTCAATGTGCCACGCTTTTCTACTTTAAGAAAACCACAGACACTTTAAAGCTGTGGTATTAAAAATGCTGTTTGCTGCTGAAGATGCTGTAGAATGATGAAAAGAATCCCACCTTTCCTTGGAGGCTCTGGCTGTTTCTTTCTCATCATAAAGTATGCATTAGCTGTTTCAGACAGCTGAACAGTCCCATTGTCCTGGGCACAGAAAAGCATAAAATCACTGGCAATCACTTTGCCATTGTGTTTGGAGATTAAAGGACAGGACCTGACAAATGAGGCAGACCTTGAATCAGAAGAAGAGGTAGCATCAGATAATGCAGCTAAACAGTATGTCTAGCACAGATAAGCTCTGTATGAATTCTTGGCCAGTCATTTCTCTGGCAGCCCACTTGCCAAAGAAGGGTCCTGGTTTATCTTTCAGGTAGTATTGATCTTTACTTCTAGTTCTAAATATTATTTTGTATTCAGTTTTAATTAAGATTTGTGATTGTCTTGTAAACTTCCAGGAATGCTCAAAGAGCACTCATAATGCAGAAAATTATCTGGATGCTTATTTCTGTGGTTGTTCTCCATACTCCCATCTTGCCACCCTTGTCCTGGCAGCACATATTTGTATCAGTATCAGTTTTCTAATGTAAAAAGCAGTGTACAAGGATTTGTGGGAATGTCTTGGGATGAGTCAACTCTTGGCTGCTGCCTCAGCAGCAGAAGGCTGTGGTTTCCATTTCCACCTCATGTACTGGGCTCACACCCAACGCTTGGCACTGTCTTTTGGTGACAGGGGGTGTTTCACTGAGGAAGATGTCATCCTGAACATGACATGATGAACTCAGAGCTATTGTTTCTCCATCTGGAAATGAAAACCCCAAGGAATATTTCAGACAGAGCAGGAGCTTAGCTTAGGGCATGGCCAAACATCCCCAAAATCATTGCTGTGGCCATTCACATGTGAGATGTTCAGTACATGACGTTTCTGCCTGAAGAGTTTCTGCAGCATCACTGTCTGTATTGTTCTCATCTGTGCACATCTGCTGTGCCATTTGTAAAACACTCAGATCTCTGTTAGCACAGCAAAAGTTTTTCTTCTGTGCAAGTGGCAGGAGCTATAACAAGTCAGCTTTGCTGCTTTTTCAAGTGGCAGGAGCTGTAACAACTCAGCTTTGCTGCTGCCTCTTCTTCCCACCTCTGGAGAGGTGCATCCTTCCTGCTGCTGCAGGGAGAAATCACTTAAATGTGTCTGCCAAGGGAAATACTGCAGCTCATTCCAGATTTTTTGGCGATACGGAGACAGTAGTTCTTTAATTCTGGTGCATGATGGAGGCTGGAACCAGGGGCCAATATTGACAGTTTACAGCTGTCTTTAGTAAAGGAGATTGATGCACCTAGGGAAAATTGAAAAGTTTTGACTCATTATCATATTCTGCTTTCAATATGAATTTAAAAAAAAAAAAATCTTCTGGGTCTGGCTCCCTGTTACCCCAGCTTTTCTGCAGTACTCTATATTCTTACTACAGATTTCTGCTTGTTTTCTTCCACTTGTCAGAGAGAGAAAGAAAGAAAGAAAAGAAAGAAAAGAAAGAAGAAAAGAAAGAAAGAAAGAATTAATGAATTCAATACTTTCTCCTTTTTCCTTTGGTTAAAAACATGGAAAATGGCTGTGTGAGAACATCGGTAATAGCCAAGGACCAGACTTCAGCCCTGTGTTTTCATGCTTTTGCAGGGAACATGGTGATGATTATGAACTGTTGCAGTCTCAGCCCATTAACGAGTTTGTTCTCATACAGAGAGCTGATAGCAGATTTCAGAATTGGGGTTAGACACACACAAAGAAAATGCTTCTGTTTGTTCTGTTCTTTTCAGGCTGGATGCCTCTCTGTGAAGCACCAGCCTTGCTGCTATCAGGGTTGAACTTCCCTCCCTTCACCACAATTTTAAAGAGCAATTAAAAATGCACTATAAAAGTATCTTGTGATATCCTTTTATCCCTAGGCAGGGGACACCAGGATCCTACCAAGGATACCATCATGTTCTAAAGATCCTGACACTCACAGCCTCTCTGTTGTCACTTTGGAGAGCTGAATCTTCCTCTTTGTGTGAGCTCAGAAATAACTCTTCATGGAATATGGTGGAAAAAGCAGTTCTGAAAAGTATTTAAAAGTGAGAATAAATATATTGCTTGGTACCATGACAAATACCTTTCATCTTTTAGGTGGTATGAATGTGCAAGTAAATTTGTTTGCAATTCTCATGACACAAAACTAAGCTGAAAACTGTAAATAAAATTTGTTTTGCAGATCTCAGAAATAAGAAAGCTCAAAAGAGAGTCTGATAAGTGAGCAGAGTTGCCTGTAAAATAGACTCCTCTCAGGGAATTTAAGTCGTTTTCCTCTTTAACAAAAATATGGCAGTTAGATGCTCTGCCAAACTTTTAGTGGCTTAAAGCTCCAAGATCTCTGCAGAAACCTGGAAAGGAGCCATTTTGGAACATGATTTTTATCAACAGGGATTAGAAGGAATGATCAAAACAAATCTGAAGTTTTAATAAACAATCAAGTTTCCATCTTCACTGCTTAGATTTCTATTTCCCTCCTATGCAGGTAGAACTAAATTGCAGGTAGCAGGTGGGACTCTTGTTCTTCATTAGACTTTAATTTCCATTCATATATATTTAAAATTTATAACAGGTCTCATGAATTCAAATGAGACATCACAGTCCACAGATAAAACTGCAATAACAGTTATAGAAATTTTAGAAAATAGCCAACCCCAGGTGTTGACTCATGAATATTTATAAACATCAGACATCAATGAAGCAAAACACCATTTAGACCTGGTCCTATTCCAAATAAAATGGATAAAAAAGCCACTCAATACTAGAAAGACTCCTTTAAAAAACATCTGAGAAAAAACCAACAATTTTTCCCCATCTCCATGTGTATCCCCAAATATAGGGTGTGGTAGAGGGATCTTAAAATGAAAATATGGTTTTGCTTTTTTTACTTCTTGAGATGGCTGTTCTTTTTCCTCAATTTGAAATATATTCTTATCTAAGTGCATGTAAGCAAAGCTATTTTTTGCATACAAAAATTTTTAATTGTGTCACAATATTTGAGTTTAAGCATATATTCTTTGCATGATAAATTTCATGAATAAAATCTCTGTGACACCTGTGAAAGGAAATACATACGTAAAAACAAATCAAAGTCAGTAAAGATTTTATTTATGTAGTTGGAATACAGCCAAATGGATTTTTCTCACTTAAAAAAACCTCATTCATTCAAACTGGAGAAGTTTCTATTCCAAAAATTTATATTTGGAGTGTTGTAGGGAAGGAAAAAAACAAGTCTGGAACTCAAATGAGATAGATACAAATACCTGGTAAAGTATGAGCTCTAGGGCAGATTCTGACTTTATTTGCACCTTTGTACATACTTGGATATTTCCATTAAGTTAGATTGTTAAAGATTTATTCCATGGCACTGAGACCAGGATCATGCACATGAATGCCAGACAAAACAGAAGAGACAGTTTGACAGATCAGGAAAATAGGACCAAACCTGGACTTTGTATAGAACTTAGGATTTTCACTCTTCCCTCAATTCTACATTTTCCTCCTGAAAACAGAACTCCTGAACCAGGGAGACAGTCAAAACGGGAGAGAAAATGCTTGTGGCAATAATGTAAAAAAAAGGTTCAGGAAACATGATCAATTGCTTAGAAAGACCCAAATCTGTTCTTTTTTTCCTAGTGACCGAGGATGGAGGAGGAAGTTGTGCATTCTGTTCCATTTCCCAGGAGTCTGACATTGTCCTGCAGGTAAGGATTTACCTCATGGCAATCTGGCTGGGAAGCGTTCACTGGGTTCCAGGCTAAAGAATGTACTGAATTGCAGGATACTGAATGCAAGTGCAGTAGCCAGAAAGAGTGAAAAATAGTAGCTTCTCATCTGTTTATTTCAACATGACAGTTCTCTGGCACTGGAGAACAAAAAAAGTTGATTTCATGAGGTGAGAGGAGCAGAGCTATGGACTCAGAACTTTTTATGTGTTCAGTAGCCTTTGGTTTTAAAATTTTTGTCCACTTCCAAAACTGGCTACAGTTCCAGGAACAATATTACTTGAATAAAACATATAAATATAAGGAAATTTTTTTGCAAATATGGCAGAAGTGATACCTCAGTTCACAATGGTTTGTCTTGAGCTCTTAATATATGAGAGTTTTTTAGTAGCCTTTATGTATTTGTAATGAAGAGTTTGAATCCCAGAAGATTTGCAGAAAACACTTAAGGATGTTATTCCATTAGTGTTCCATTTAAAATATTTCACACTTAATTAGGTAACAGAAACAATATCAGACTTTGGTGTTTAAATTTTAATCTGGGTAATGTCACAGTGAAAAATTATTGCTTTGATGGAAAAAGAATTATCTTGGGAATTATTTGTCATACAGAATAGGGCCAAAAATAATTGTTTAAGTTCTAGTTTAAAGGAAATGCAAGAGGACATAAATAAAAATTCTTTTATGTGCAGGATCAAATGAGAACATTAAAGTAGGCTGCCCATCTGGCTACCTTGTAGGCAATTTAGCATTTTCTTTCATTTATTTTCATTGCCTTTATTTTTAACACAGAATAAAGTTCTTTCACTGAGCTTAGTGTTGCATGTGAAGGGGTAAATGTCCAGGTGACAGATGACAAATGTCATTACTTGATTCACTGCAACTGTGTAAGGAAGGGCAGCCAGTTTTCCTCACGTGGTGTCCAGGTTGAAAATCAGGTACAGGGAGCTTGGCATCAATCCCACGCTTGGGAAGGGACTGATGTCAGTGGGAACAAGTGGCACAGGGGAATAGAGGAGTTAGATGGCTGCTTGCATCCTAAAACCATCAGGGAGCCTCATCTGTCTCTGGATATCAAGGTAAAAACAGGCAGTGGCAAACACCGTGGGGCCTCTTTACATCACCAGGGAATGTACTTTGTGTCTGCTTAGTCACTGTAACTGCTAACAGAACTCTGCAATATCTCGGGAAACAGCTTAGTGCATATTAATTTCTTGGAATCACTCAAATTAAAGCAGAAAGTACAGTCAGCTTTCTATAGACTCAAACAATTAAGGCAAATTTAAATAGATTAAACACATCTGTCTGTACTTAAGAAGAAAAGGGATTAGGACTTAAATGTAACAACATAACCCTTGTTCAGCTGTATGTCAGGCATAGTTTGGAGCTCTGTGCTCATGATGATTAAAATTCATACAGAAGTATTGCTAAGAGAGGGAAGACATTTCAATTCATATCTTCTAATTAATTAACAACTAAATATGACATAAAGACAGTATAAGAGAAGGAAAGGCTCTGAGTCATCTGATAGCCTCACACTTTGTTGCCATAAGGAAAACCATCTTTAGTTACCGTTTCATGACTCTGCACTGCTCGAGCTGAAAATTCACAGTGCACAATACTTGTATGGAACACAGTGAAATTTGGTTTCCAAAATGAAATGGGAATGACAGAATGTGTGCCACATTGAGATGAGCAACTCAGATGTCAAACAGTCCTTCAGAGAGACCACAATGTTCTGAGTGAAAATCTATTTGAAGTGTACCAGGGGTACATTTAATCAAAGCAGCAGTGCTGGAGCCACAGAGCAGGGATGTGCTAATGGAGACAAGCTTTGCCCTGTCCCCAGCAATGTGCTTTAACTCTGACACTCAGCTGTCACAAGTGGGTCTGGAATAAATTTCCTTGCAGCAGCAGCTGTGTCTGAGGGAACACCGGTGAGGGCAGGACAGCAGTGTGGGTGTTTCATGCCTTTAGTCTGTATTGTTGGGGCTAGAAAGCACAGCATGATTTGGAGCCGAGAAATCAAAGTATTAGCAAGCGAGGGAGAAATAACAGTTTTTCTGACTGTCACCAAACCTAGTAGTAATGACATTAAATATAACATACATATACCCACTCATGGCAGGGGAAGCAGGTGCACACAGACAATTAATCCCTTGCCAGCCCCGTGTGCCCCGCTGGATTCTCCCGCTGTCAGCACGGCGGCTCTTCCAGCCGGGAGCGGCCCTGGCACCGCAGGGCAGCGGCACCGCCCGGCTTCCCAAACCTGCAGCCTGCGGGACCCCAGCTCCGGGAGGGGATTGCTGGACAGCCGGGGCTGCAGCTCCGGGAGGGGATTGCGGGACCGGCTGAAGGATGCGGAGCTCCCCGGGGCTGCGGAACCGCGGCGCTGCCGCTCCCCCTCGCGGCCCCGCCGGCCCCGCTCCCGGTGCTGGGTGCGTCAGGCACGTTTGGATTTGGAATGTTGATTCTGGGATACATTAGGAACGTTTGGGTAGGATCACTGGTGCTGGGATACATCAGGCACATTTGGGTTTGGAACACTGATGCTGGGATACATCAGGCACATTATGGGTTTGGAATGCTGATGCTGGGATAGATCAGGCACATTATGGGTTTGGAATGCTGGGATACATCAAGCACTTTTGGGTTTGGAACACTGGTGCTGGGATACATAAGCGCATTTTGGGTTGGAACAGTGATGCTGGGATGCATCAGGCACATTTTGGGTTTGGAATGCTGATGCTGGGATACATCAGGCACATTTGGGTAGGATCACTGATGCTGGGATAGATCAGGCACATTTTGGGCTGGAACACTGGTGTTGGGATACATCAAGCACATTTGGGTAGGATCACTGGTGCTGGGATAGATCAGGCAGGTTTGCATTTCTGTCTGTGGCACCAAGCAGCTCATGCAGCTGTTACCGCTGGTAGTCCCTGCCCTTCCTCAGGGCGTTTGGAGGCTGCAGCAGGGTGTGAAGAGAGGCAGGGCTCCAGCCAGGAGCTGCTGAGCTCAGGGAGGGGTGGGGGTGTTGGTACCACACGTTCCAGTGGTGTCAAGGTGAAGCAAGTAGGCAGCATTGCTTTAAACGCAAGAGATCCTCTCCTTCCTGCCCTGGCTGCCTCTCTGAATCCCCCTGATGTTTGACCAAGTTATTTGGATCCATTCATCCTCCTACACTGATTTTTTTCTCCCAAGATTTCTATTGTTTTATGAAGCATGTAACTATGAAAATTGAACTTCAGAGCACTGTGGGAGCTTACAGAAAATGAACCAATGCAGATTTTTTGTAATGTGTTTCGAAAATTGTTTACATTTTAAAAATAATACTGCAGGCTTCTGGGCATTAGTCACATTTTTTAATGCCTAAGAGGGAAAATAATGAACTGATTTTGGTACCTAAAAGAAATATCAGTGTCTAGAAGTATATCCTGCATGAGGTACATAGCTAGACATATGGCCAATGAGCCACTTATTTTAGATAAGTACTGCATATATTTTATGCTAATTATTTTCACAGGTATTAATCCATCAGAGACTAATTAACCAGCATCCTCAGATAACTTATGCTCAGTGTTCCTGATATCACTAGGTTAGATCTCTTGTTAAAAGATTGATTGTTATGAATCAATGAAGAATTTTTAATGAAGCAAAAAATACCATCAAAAAGAATCCTACATAATATAATCACAGGTGCTGAGCTCAAACACCTGCAGTATGACAGACAAAGGAAGAGATCTGATATCTTTATTTGAAAGAAATTACTGTCTTGTTTCCTTTCAAGGTAGGTAATTTATTAATGACATGTAATTTAGGGAGTCTAGCAGTGACTTGTTTCTTTTCTTAGTTGGTCAAGTAAAAATTCAGTTGATTTAAAATATCTTCTTTTTATGCAAAATGGCAACAAATGTTGGAACAAATATTCCAGCATCACATAGTTTTGTTGCAATTTTGAACTGGTTTTGACATTAGCTTGTAATATGTTCTTTCCTCCACAGGAGGAATCAGAGGGTTCAGGGTGACCAAGTCTCATCTGGGATGTCTCATTGAAAAGTGAAGGAAAATTGTGAAATTTTAGCTTAATAGTCTGACATAATTGTGGGGTTCACTACAGTAAATCAGTTTCTGCCTCCTGAGTGTATTGAAAAGGAACTGTCCTCGAGGTTTGTGATGCATCACAGCTCCCCCAGCGAGGATGACCCCGGGCAGCTGATGCACAGCAAGCAGTTTGGGGAAAGAGCTGATTGTAAAATGTTCCTGTAGCCTTGTGCAGACAGCTGCCACAGTAGCTTTGCCAGTGTAAAGGGACAAAAGCACCACGGTTCCTTCATCCCCATGCCTTGTAATCTCAGTGTAAAAGTATAGCTGGAGCATATGTGTATCTTTTCATTATCACCATTCACTTATACCATTGCTACCTCTTATGCTCTGTGAGGTTTTTATCCTCTGTAAGCCTTTTATTCTCTCTGTGACTTTGCAAATGTACTTCACAATGCTTTGAAGATTAATCCTATAATTAAAGGACATAGTTAAATAATAAAATTCTGGCTTGCTTATACTGAAGAGACATGTATAATCTTCAACCATTAAATTGCATCTAAAAGCATGTTTTGCTCAAAGAAACAAAGTACCAGCAAATATTTTCAAAGGAAGGATTTAAAGCTGCTGATTCATGACATACCACCTAAGCATGAATGTTGTATAGTATGCTTTGCCTGGAATGCACTTTATTTAAGGTGTAATGTTTAATTCATCTCTACTATTTTTATATGGCAGTAGAAATACCTTTCTTTCTTATTAAACAGAAAAGGTTCATTTTCCCAGTGCATCAAGGTAAGAAACCACAGTTGATTCATGAGGCAGTGATATGTGCTGAATAAAAATCTAAATATCCTACAGAACAAATTACTCCAATCCCTGTTTGAAGCACTGTCTGCCTATAGACAAGCAGGTCATAAACTCATTCAGGTTCT